TCGTTTGAGAGATGCAAATGCAAACAACATTGAGATGCCACCTCACCCCAGAAAGAATGGCTGCTATCATGAAATCAACCAATAACAAATGCTGGTGGGAATGTGGGGAAAGAGGAACTGTCCTCTACTGCTGGTGGGAGGGTAGACTGGGGCATCCACTGTGGAAATCAGTACGCGGATACCTCAAAGAACTAGGATCGGAGGTCCTGTTTGATCCAGCTATTCACCTGCTGGGTATCTCCCCACCAAAATTAATAGATCGTATATAATAGAACATATGTAATAGAACAGTGTTAAGGCCGGGGAATTAGCTCAGTGGTTCGGCCGCCTGCCTTGCAAGTGCAAGGACCCGAGTTCAATCCCTGGTACAAAAAAAAGAAAAGAAAAAAAAAAAAAAAAAAAAAAAAAAAAAAAAGAAGAACAGTGTTATATGCGCACCCATGCTCATGGCTGCATAATTTGTGATAGCTAAAACTTGGAAGCAGCCCAATTGCCCATCAATTGGAGACTGGAAAAAGATTTTTTTAAAAAATAAATGGACTACTACTCAGCCATAAAGATTTAGAAACTAGAGACATTTATAGATAAATGGATGCATAGTGAGGTGATACTCCTAAGTGAAATAAATGGGAAACATATGTTTAAATATCGAATAGTTTCTCCAGTTTGAGAAACTGAAAGTTTAAATAAGAACCAAATGTATAATAGATAATGTGAAATTGGAAGAAAAGGTGCAAAGGGGAAGGAGAAATGGGATGGGTAGGGGAAACAAAGAAGGAAATGGAATTAACATGAGAAAAAAATGGAAACAAAGTCTTTGTAGATAGGGAGGGGTGGAGGGGTTGAAGGGAGGGCAGGGGATTGGGGAATAAATAAGAACCAAGATGGATTATGTAAAGGTGCAAATTTCCAATGATAAATGTCATTATATTGTATATCTTAAATATACCAATAAAATTAATTAATTAAAAAAGCCTTCTAAATCCCTGAAGGAGCTTTCTACTAAAGCACAGATGAAGATAAATTTATGGGATCTCTTGCCAGTGCACAGTTGCACTGTGAAAAGCATGACTCTCTTCACCAATGCACCAATGCCTGGCACATGGGTTGGTCATGCCATTAGCAGGAAAGTGGAAACTCATCCTTTCCCTTTGGGTAGGAGACATAATCTGTATTTCAACCGACCTTTTTTTCAAGCTATCTCTATCACTACGCAGCTCGTTGTAGAATCAAAAGATTCCATTCAGGAAAGCACCCCAAAGCCTAGCATTCATACCCTGAATAAAAACAGTGACAATTCTTCCTTCCTGAATGTTTTTTTTTTTGAAACCTACAAACCTACAAAATGGTTACAAGGAGAATGCAATGAGTATACATATATTCCTCACCTACATTCATCACTTAATATTTGCTACAGGTATGCTTTCTGCATGCAGGTGTAATAATATATATTCACACTCATTATTTATTGAACCTTTGAGCTGTTAGAGAGTTATGTGCATACATTCTAACCTTTCACCCTATATATGTGTATTTCCTAAAAAATAAATACATACTGATAATTATAGTATAATCATCCTATGCATAAGATTTCATAATTGATATACCATTATTTAACACACAATTAATTTATCGCAGTAATGTCCACTACATCTGATCCTTTCCCATCTAATATCTCAACAAGTAGCAATCATTATAATTGATCATCACGTATCTAGGCTCCCTTAATCTAACATTGCTACTTTTTTTTTTAATTTTCTAGAAACACTGTCATTACTTTTAAAGTCCTGGCCAGTTTTGTTTTGTCAGAAAAAACTTCATTTTGGATTTCCTTGGTTCTTTTATCATTATTAAATTCATGTTAAACGAAATAAACTTTTAAAATTTTTTTCTTTGAAGCCAAGATTGGCCTCAAAATCATGATCCTCCTTCCTTGCTTGGCCTCCTGAGAAAGTGTTAAAACCAGTCAAATATCAACAATCAGCTTATAACATAGAACATGTTGTGTCCTTCTTACTACAGCGCATAACGGACATGCAATGCTCATCCGTGCTGTGATTGGCAATGTTAAATTTGAATCTATGGGTAAGATGGTATCCACTAGATTTCCTCATAGCCTTATTCTCTTTGCTTAAGTAACAAATCTGTGGGGATTGTGTGAGTATTCTGTTTCTCAGCAATGTCTCACCTCAGAATTTCATCACCTTTTGATGATTCTCACCTGAATCCAAAATTATGGTGGATGTAAAGTAATTTTCTGTTTCTACAGCGGCTCCCACATTTACTACCTGCATCTTCCATAAACTTTTTTACCTTCACACTGTTTATATAAACACTTCTGGTCAGCAAAAGTGACTCATGGGTTGTTTTATGTTTAGTGTGTCATATAACTCATTCCTGCCGTTATTCACTAATATTCTATATTAAGGATACTTTCTTTAAAAATGCCAAGTTATTCTTGCTTTTCTAATACCGATACATTTCTCCCTTATCATGTATATTTTTTGCTTTGTGAAGTTTGAATCCACATCTCCTGAGAGGCAAATTTCAGGATTGCCCACTTATAGACTTAAATGTGTTTTATATCTTCCTTATCTTCTTACAGAAACATTCTCTCAAAGCAATTTATAGTCACCCTATATTTATGATTAAGACTTTTCCTTTCTTTCTCCTCTCTGTTTCTCTGGCTTATGTTTTGGTTTGGTTTGGGTGAGGTTAGGGGTATTATTGATGCTTTTTTTTTGTTTTTTGTTTTTTGTTTTTGGTCTTTCAAGCCATGGATATGTTTCAGAGTAACTGCTAGGCCAGTTTGCCCAGTAATGTCCCTGGCCTCAATCTAGTATATACAATATATAGCTTTAATTCAAGGTGAAACAAATGTTTAATAGAGTCACTGAGACGTTTAATAGTAGACTTGTAGAATGAGCAAAATCTAGACACATGGTGTCCTAAAAGGCAATTAGTAAAAGTCTAAAACTAAGCCCTGTTCTAACAAGATCTCAAATGAAGCTGAAACTTTCACCTAACATTTCAAATTTAACAAGATTATACCACATTGTGCATATATGGGAGACACTGTGTACAGAAGTGACTCATCCAATCTCTGATGCGCAACAGTCTGTTACTATAATGTACTTCCACACAAGATCTAACACATTGTGCCTGAGGCTGTAAATATTTTTTTAATCACAGTGGGCAATTTCAACTACCTTCCGATTTACTATTTCTCTCCTTGTTTTTATCTACTGTTTTGAACTCATACAATAGATTTTTAATTTCATTTACTTTTTTTTCTAGATGTTCTACTTTGTTTTCTCTCAAAATTCTTCGGCTGTTCCTTAAATTTTCTTGTTGTATGTAGATATTTTGAAGCTTGTGTTTTACTTTTTTAAACATAAAGGTTTAACATTTTTTTAATAATACAGCAGCAATATAGTAAATCCATTATTTGAAGACTTTGTGGGGCATTTCTCCTATCTTTTTAAAATTCATTTTCCCTTATGATGCAAATTTCTTATATATTTATTTTTAAAACTATGAGCAGACCATTTTCACAGAAATTATTTGTGGGATTTGTTTCAGGTCTTTCATGAAGGGACTTCCAGTCAGATAGAATATGCTGCTATGTCTAAGATTACCACCGTCCCAGACCACTACAATGTAAATTTAATCTTGAAGATTTTTAAATACACAAAGGATAGTAATTATTTACTGAAAAAGATGCATGAAGGCAGATTTTTTTGTGGCTAAGGTATATTAGAGCCAGTTCTCCCCAATACGGTCTCTGCTTGGGACCTAAGCCACTTTGCTGAGTGATAAGCTGGTAGAATTGATGCATTCATAGCTAGCTAACCCTTACTCTCGAATTCTAGCTGTTTAGTTTTAGTTTTGGTGGAGTCTCCCAGTAAACATTCTATTACTCAGGACCTGACCCTTGTTTTCTGTCTTTGTAGCTCCTTAGACCAATTTTTTTTTAAATCAAATTTTACTTGGTTCAGCAGTTTGGCAAGTTCAGCAGTCCTTAGGGAAAAGATAATTTTTTCTCTCAGACTTTTTGCCTGACCTGATAATTCTTGACAATATTTTTTAACCTTATATGCTCTTAAAAATATTTTGTACTGTATGAGGATGTTTTATAATTGCTTTCAATAAGAATGTTAGAGGCTACTGTACTCTAAGAAATAGAATTCTAAATCCACAGTAACTGCAGTAACTTCCTAGACATCATTTAAATATAAAAAGCACCTACTTAAAATATTTCAACCATTAAATATCACAAGTTATTTATTACTAATGATAAAACTTCTTTGATATTACCCAATAATATCAATAATGGGCATGTCTTAGCAAATCTTAGAAGATAAAATTTTAAACATTGATGATTTATGGATATTTTTATAGTAAAATCTAAACTTCCTAAAATAGCAAAGCATAAAGTATCCTAAAAAATTTCTTTTCTTTCTTTCTTTCTTTCTTTCTTTTTTTTTTTTTTTTTTTTTTTTTTTTTT